AAGTATTAGAGCTATTGCCCGCAATCGAAATATCGATAGATATATACTCAAAATCATACATACAACATCACATTCGTACACAGCAACTTCAGGAACTACTTATAAAAAAGGACACCATACAACGACAATCAATAAATCAAAATTTGCGAAAACTTGCAGAAACTGCAGGCTTTTCAGACATTTACGCACAAGATTACAGCGGCTACTTTAAAGATATGAAAGACTACATATATTTAAATGCCGAAATGCATAGACCACAAGGTATATCACCAATAAATTTTTTTAGCTTTGTATCTTTGAAAAACGAAATTCTTGCCTTTCTAGGATGGCCCTTCTACATCTTAGAAAGATTGACTATATTATAAGCAATGTTTATTTTTATTGGATTCCTTTTCTCTCTAACAAAAGGAATCTATAACACATGCACAATACACACACAATTAAACCGACAAGCAAGCGTAGCACGTATACTTTCTGCAGGCTTTTTTGGAATTTTTTCTACGTCCATAAACAAAATACTTTTTCACGCACAAATAAAAGAATACAATACAAAAATATCTACAAAACCAAACACATTTGACGAATCACAAAACAAAACAAACGTATCACACACAGCAGCACAATTACCAAATTTACATCACAACCATCCATTATCATTAGTATCACGAAATTTTCGAAATTTAGCACTATACTACAAGTTCAATACCTAATTATATACAAAGCCGCATTCACCATATAGTAGCACCACAATCTCAAAATGATGATACATATGAACAAATAATCGAACAGCCCCATACCACTACTTTTCAATCTCAAAATAGTCATTTTTTAGGCCCACGATGAGCCGACAAATTGGATCCCTTCACCGTTCAAATTCCCATCCAGCCAAATTCCAAAACTCAATTCCCATCATCCCACTTTTTGCTTTCCCGCCACCTGATTCACTTCATATTAACACATCATCCAGCATGGATTTTGATGCTAAGTCAGATATCAAAGCTTTTCATACAATTTCCCAATTTGAAAACTCCGACTTAGAAACCCCTGATGAATTCGCAGATTCCGAACCCAGTCCCTCGACCTTTTCCCAACCCAGCCCCTCTACTTTTCTCAAACCCCTTTAGACCCATTCACTCCCAAACCCAAAGTGAATCCTTCTCTACCCGCTCTCATATTTCCCAAGTGATACCAACCTACTCTTTTTTCACAGATTAACGTTCCACAAAAAAATCCCCTGATAATACACAAAAATCTAATGAACTAAACAATCTAATAACATTCCAACAACAAGTCCAACATCCTCAAACTTTAACTACTCACCAGTTATCATTAACCATAACCTCATCAAACCCACCAGCTCCCACACCTTCTTCAGATCACACCCTATCTTTAGCTCAAGCATCCACATCAACGCAATCATCATCCAGTACTAACCGTGCTTACAGAACCTTCAAACGAAAATTCCCCAATCACCCGTTCTCCTCCAAACTCGGAACCGCCCGCGAATATATAAATCACCCAAAACATACCAACACAACCAAATACCCCCAAGTAAACTTAACCTGTTTTCCTCAGTACACATATAACCACTCCGAACCTAACCCTGAACCCCACAATTTTGTAGATGAACCCGTAATAATTCCTACACTCCATTGGAAAATCTATTATAATCTTCCATAGGGATCAGATGACAGCCATAATGTTCTACAATTAAATCCCGACGAAAACAAATACTATCTACTTACACCATATCCATCACTAATGCAACCATTAGAAAAGTTTTTACCCGAAAGTATTAGAGCTATTGCCCGCAACCGAAATATCGATCTACAATCGATAGATATATACTCAAAATCATACATACAACATCACATTCGTACACAGCAACTTCAGGAACTACTTATAAAAAAGGACACCATTCAACGACAATCAATAAATCAAAATTTGCGAAAACTTGCAGAAACTGCAGGCTTTTCAGACATTTAACTACTCACCAGTTATCATCAATCATAACATCACCAAACCCACCAACTCCCACACCTTCTTAAGATTACACCCAAGCTCAAGCATCCACATCAACGCAATCATCATCCAGTACTAACCGTGCTTACAGAACCTTCAAACAAAAATTCCCCAATCACCCGTTCCCCTCCAAACTCGGAACCGCCCGCGAATATATAAATCACCCAAAACATACCAACACAACCAAATACCCCCAAGTAACCTTAACCTGTTTTCTTCAGTACACATATAACCACTCCGAACCTAACCCTGAACCCCACAATTTTGTAGATGAACACGTATTAATTCCTACACTCCATTGGACATTCTATTACAATTTCACAAGTCCACTTGCTTTACCACTCCTTAACACAATAAAAGACATCGAAAGAAACAAAATGAGCTATTTAGACTAACTACAGCACTAATCCCTCGACAGTTTACGCAAATAGGATACAAAAAATTACTAAAAACATCCACCGCACCCCGAGCTAAAGATTATTCTATGAAATACTACGACCACAATATTATCAGACCTAACCAAGATCAATTCCTAGACAACGATCAATTCGCTAGCCCACAATCAACTGAAAAATTCTTTAATCAAACACCTTTCCTATTCACACTTAGCATACTATATAAAAAACACGATCATATCATTTCAGAAGCACTTTCTGACATTCAAGCTTACGAATCACTTTATGAGAAATTTGAAAACTTTTCACTAACTTTCCACTTCCTCGCTCCCAAAAAATGTGATTTGCATTGTTCACACGACATCATGGTAAGAACTAAACAGACACACTTACGCTTATTATCGATTCATACAAAATCACTTTAATCTACATACACCATCAGGACAGCCCCACCATCGATATCAATTTACTAACTTCGTATAATAAGTTAAAATTTTTTAACTTTACCTCACCGTTTTTTCTTAATTTCACAAATTGTTTTAGAAACACTAATTTTCAAGGCGTCCTTCGTAATTATGACCCCATCACGCAAATGTATATTTTCTGTCCATTCGCCAAGATCTTCAACACGGAAGAATGCCGACCCCTCGTTGTCCCGCATGAATATATTCAACCTATCGAAGTACCCATTTTAGAATTCATCCACAACACTAAATATAATCATAAGCTTTTCAATTTAGTCCAAAACCCACCTTATGAATTTTCAATTGGCACCAAAGAACTAAACACCATCAAAGCACTTGAATTGCTTTGGCCTCTGCTACAAATTAAAATCATCATTTGCATATTAGCAAAACTACTAACCACATCTGATGTCATCCACGAAGTTTTTCCTCATGGCTTCTTTCCCGACGAATAAGTAAACTTGAATTGAATAAATTAAAACTAACAAATTCGAAAAACAACTAGCCTTTTTTATTAACTTTTTTCTTTAGTCTTCAGAGCACAATCATCTACAAACAAGAAAAACCAAATAAAAATTCGAAACTCTTTTGTACATTATAAACTTTAAAATTTTATTAATAAACAGCATTAAATGATGCAGTAAAATTTTCTTACCCACAGTAGTGAATTAATCTATAAATTCTTTTCCCCAATGTAGTAAATCTAAATACAAGAAAAATCGATTAATAACTTCAATCCCCACAAAGCAGTAAAATTAGAAATTCAAGTGTTGAATTTATATAAAAGAGAGCAGTACTAACTTTTCAACGAAGCTTCTTTCTATTCACTCGCACAAGAGTTCTATCCAAACTCGCACAGCTCGCCCACGACGAATTGTTTGAAAAAAAGAATTTCAAGCTTTAATTTTCACTAACAACAACTCAAACAAGCGATAACAAATTTCAATTTCTCTTTTAACCCGGTTGGAAAAGAACTATATAATAATGCCAACTAAACAACGCAGCTTACCAAACACCATAAACCACAAACTAACATTATGACTAAGAAAGAAAACCCACGGTACCCAAACCAGATTAAACCAGCTTAGGAACTGGATAATTTATTCTTTTGAAGACTATTGACAAGTCTAAAAAAGAAATCGTAAAACACCAAAAAGTCGAAAGACAAACCCAAACCAAACAATTTGATTTTTAAGAAAAGAACACAGACAGTTCTCCGCCGAACAAGAAAGAACAATCATAACAAGCCATTTGGAAATCAGATTGATTTCGTTGGCGGTCACAGTCATTGTTGAATGAATAAAATCATATCGACCAATCCAGCTTCCTGGAGCTTCCTTCTTCAAGAACGGAACAAGAAATGATGCTCGCCAAATACCAACGATCATCATTCATCCGTCATTACAGATAGAATACGAAAGATTAAAAAAATCTGCAAACCCCTGATGGGTGGAACCAGATCCACACTATAATTTATTATTGGTTATAATTTAGATATTTTGTCCCTATAACGTATTTAATACTAACCAATCATAATCCATCAAACTAACAACCCAATTATTTGTAAGTGCTGAAATTACTTGTATTTTCAGCACCAGAGAGAATTGAATTTAACTTAGAACTTAGTTACTTTCTCCAAGAGACCGAATCGTAATTAACCCAGTATACTCTAGATCTATTTAGACTAAGAGATATAAGAGTAAGATTAAGTTCGGTATTAGACCAAGAAGTTGCACAAATCTATCCGGCCAAAAATAAGTTAGCGTGACGAGCGGACGGTGCTCCCTATCTGAAATTACTCTATGAGTTAGACCTAAGAACAAAACCCACAATCATACTACATCAAACTAACAACCCACTTATTTGTAAGTGCTGAAATTACTTGATTTGAACTTAACTTTGAGATTTGAACTTAACTTACAACTTAGTTGCTTTCTCCAAGAGACTGAATAGTAATCAAACCAGTATGATCTAGATCTATTGATACTAAGAGATGTAAGAGTAAAATTAAGATCGGTATTAGACTAAGAAGTTGCACGAATCTATCCGGCCGAAAATAAGATAGCGTGACGAGCAGACGGTGTACCCTATCCGAAATTACTCTATGAGTTAGACATACCCAGTCACAACTCTGTTGGGTTTGTTCGTTGTTCGACGAAATATCTATTCTGCTAACTGCCTGATGTTTGCTAATTCGCTGTGAAGTTCCGCCCATGTTGTGAGGCGTGTTTTGTACGTTGTATGGCTCTTTTGCTATTCTATGCAGCAGTGTTACTGAATTTTCGACTTGGTAAGTTTGTTTTTGTGTCTGACGTTTAACTGCATTTGACCCAAAGTTGGCTCGATCGGCAAAATCAGTTCTAATTTGAAGTGGCTGAGATAAATTTGTATCGTTTTGAAAGAATTTAGGATTCGTTCTAATCGGTTGAGTAGAGTAAAGAGGCTTTTCTCGTTGTTGGGTAAAATTGGGCTGATGGCTGGAGTAGCAGTAGGAAGGTTGGTTTGCATTTGGAACTGAAGCCTCTGGGTTGTTTAAACTTCGAAGCTGGGGGCCGTTTTCTACTTGTTCAAGCGCGTCTAACACTGCTGTAAGAATTGAAAAAAGTAAGTTAAAAGTCCCGAATGGCAATATCAACTTAAAGTGCTCATCAAAATTTTGATCCAGCAGATCTGCGACGAGTATTCTCTTGAATAAAAAGAGTAAAAAACTAGACACAATTTATTTATGCAAAACGTATATAAAACCCCGCACCCTTAGCGTGAAGCCATGTTCCCCCAAAAATTACGCAAGGGCCTAAATATTTCGTTTTTGGCATATTTTTCAAAAAAATTACCTGCGGTACAGAAATTTGGTCTAAAAAATTTTCCATACTAATTTGGAAAAGCTCGGAAAATCAAATTTGCCGACCTAAAATAAAACAAAAAAGGTTTGACAAAATTTTTGATTTTTTTTTGAAAATCGGCCCCCGATTGCTTCAGCTAGCTTGTGTTAATATGTTTTGGATAAAAATTGTTTAAGAATGGAAGAGCTGTTTCAACAGTTTTTTATAAGCTAAAAAAATCTTTTGCAGCCTCCCCAAATGTCTATTTAATACAACTCATTACTCAACTGAAAAGATCGAGAAACAACAACCTATAAATTGGCTAAACCACAGAAAAAACACACCCTTATTTTAAAATTATTACCCGGGTTGACAAAAAATGCTTATCATACAATTCCACACTATGGAAAAATTTTTTATCATACGATTCCATACACTTCCATAGAATAAAAAATTTGTATGAAGTATGCTGAAAAAAATCATAAAAAGTCATGGGACTTAAGTTTTTTTTATGTACCCTGATATGTTCTGGCGAAGGAGCTGGGGATGAAGCCCTGCAGAGACTGGTCCTGATGACTAACCCACCACCAGTCGGGGTCATCCGAGTTCAAAAGAGTCACAACGTCCCCTTTCTCACACTCAAGGTCATTCTCGTTCAGGGCTGGAAACAAATGGGCTAGACAGAACCTTTCTGGAGAGAAACCGGCTTCACTTATGAAAACACAGCAGTCGACATAAACATCGCAGTCTGTGATATTTGAATTACCCTCAATTTTTTTTTCAAAATTAATGATGTTATAATACTGTTGCACCAAACTGACAACAACTTCTCTGATATTGAAGATAAAGATCATATTATTGATAATAATTAAGCATAATACCCAGGGGCGGATCTAGGATTTTCTCTAGGGGGGGGGCGGATTTTCAAAAAAAAATCGAAAATTTTGACTACCTTTTTTTTAGGTCGACCAAATTGATTTTTCGAGCTCTCCCAAAGCATTGTTTTGCCCCTATTTTGGCTAAATTTTCTGCGCCGCAGGCAAATTTTAAAAAAAAAACAGTCAAAAAAGCAGTTTTTGGGCACTTTTTGAAAAATATTGACAAGAAAATCGCGTTTTTTTGGCGCGCTTCCCCTCAAAGTTAGTATATATTGGCGCCGAAGGCACCTTTTGAAAAATTTTAGGGTCGGTCGGCCAAAAATGAATTTCTGAAAAAGTATCAAAGGGGGGACCCTTTGGGTCGGCAGGGGGTCGAATCCCTGAGGGGGAAAGGGCGTCCGAAACACCCCCCCCCCCTAAATCCGCCCCTGATAATACCTAAATAGCGTAATTTGTTTGGGTCATAACCACATTCAGAGTTTGAGTTTCGAACACTGTGAGCAGCAATTTAACATAAAGATATGTTTTCGAAAAAAAGTCTTAAACTAAGGCTGCCTGTAAATAAATTACAATTACAGTATATTCTTATCTTTTGGTTGATATGTTCCAGAAGTGATTCTAATTCAAATGCAACCACCTTCGAAGTCGAACATGACAACTAAAAGTCCTTTGTTTTCCCTCACAAATGGAACGGAGTCCGCTAGAGTGTGAACTCTTTTGCTCTCCCGACTCGTGGCGTCTGTCAAATCCGTCATTGGGTCAAAATAATTGCCCGCTTCCTGGTGTCTGAAGAAAAATGATGTTAAGTTTTCCTTGAATTATGAGTTTCAAATTCGGGTGCATTAAGACAGACTCAAATGAAAAAAAATAACGAACAATAAATGTACACCCGGATTCTGCCTAAGTAGCACAAAATAACGCGACTAAAACTTTTTTTTGCAAAAAAAAGTATTATACGAACAACTTTTCGATGCTGAGAAAAACTTTTCAAATTTCTTAGAGCCAAATCACGATTTAAAAAGTTTCAGTTAAGAAAGTTTCAAAATTATATGACGTTTTATTGTGGGACCTGGATTTGTGTCAAAAACACAACTAGGCCGAAATTTTTTTGTACACCAGAAGCTTTAAGAATCGCAGCTAGTTTTTCTCTTTGTTTCAGATTTAAAAAAGAAGACCGACGAGTACCTTTCTCCGTCTTGACTCCTCGTCCTTTCCCGCCTAGTCGTCGGCCAATCAGATTTGAGCATTTTGGCGGCCGACGTGCAAAATGCAGCTGGAATGTATCCCTCGGCTCTGTTTTTGATGTTAATAGCGTAAATCCAATCTCCGAGTCGCCTGACTTCTTTCAGTTTGTCGTTTTTGAAAGCCAAAAGCTCCTCCTTTCTTGTGGGGTTGAAATTCTGAAGGACAACTAAGTCAAAATCGGGAGCTTGCTGCTCATCCGCGATCATTTGCTTGCGAGCATTTTCGCGCCGCAGTAAAGCCTCAAGTTGGCCAGCACTTGAAGTCATTTGAGCTTCGGCTGAAATTGTTTTCGGCTTGATGGGCTGCTCTTTCGCACCCGCAGTGCTTCTTCTCTGTGCGTTCATGTTCATGGCTTGACCTGTTAAAAAGTCGCAGAAGTTTTTTGGCACGAAAAAAGGAACGGTTACTAAACTGTCTTATCAATTTTGGCTAATAAACTCTAAATGTGTCTTTCATCTGAACAGCTCAAGAAACCAAATTTGAAACAACAAATTGTTCAACCTTCGAAGCTCATTCACAAGTCTACTTTCGCGATATTCATAGCGTACCTGGTGTTATGTGACGTGGGAACAGCGGTGTTTCTGGGGGTTCTGAAAACAAAACGACAGAAAAATACGCCGTATCTTCCAAATAGACATTATCATTAATTGAGTATTTAGGAATATTGAGTTTATTGTTTTGCGCATCTCAATGAAAGGTTCAGCGACGAAGGTAAGTATGTAGCAGCGGATTTAGGAGGGGGAGGATTTAATGCCTCTGCCAGCGCTCAGCCCTTCTTATAATCAACTCCATCTTACCAAAAGAGCCTTTTTCATGGCACCCATATTAATCAATTAACCCAAGAAATTTTCTGAAGGCACTTAAGGCGCCAATAATTACTATGTTTGAAGGTAGTGAAAACTGTTCGAAAACCTTTTGACCAATTTTTTTGCCTGAAAATTTTTTGCCTAAATCGTTGAAAATCTAGCTTGAATAAGCTCTGTTTGGTATTTGGGGTAGTAAGAAATAGAACTTCGAGTTCGGCCTGAATTGTGTCAGCGAAAACTTTTCAAAAACTTTTAGAAATTTGCCCCATAACATAAATCTTTCATCCGCGCTTGTAATTATGGCCGATATAGGCTTAAGCTTATACTTAGAAAAATGTTACTGAGAGCAGAAAACCTGTATTTTACCTGTATTTTGGGTGTTTCTATTTTTGCCATGTTTAGATGGGCAAAAGAATGACATCAAGCAATTAGTAAACGTTTTCTTTGCTATAAAAAGCAAGTTTACAAATTATTTGTTGTTCAATGTACACACAAAAGTTAAAGCTCGAAAAATTGTATTTTTTTCAACAGCATTCAAAGCAAAAAAGAATGATTTTCGTCTATTGAAATCTGTAATGAAACTTAATGCGCGAGTTTATAAAAGAACTATTATAATATACAATCGACGGTATAAAGCATGCTAAGACCTATCAATCAATCGCCAATCATATATATGAATGAAAAAAAGTCTTTATTTTTACAGAATAGGCTGCTGAAAAGTACAGAAAAGTATATTTAGTACAGAAAACATCTAATTTCATTTCATAAGCCAGCAACAAAACAACAAATTTTTTTGCAACAAAAAAACACTCTTGTTCAATTTCCGGCAAAACTCAGACAACCATTCATCCGGTTTTGCTTCGAAATAACAGAAAAGTTTTTTAAATTCACGTGATATTACTCCAGCACAAGAAAATAAGAAAATTTGCCGGATTTTTTTCAGCAGTTTCTAATTTTTTGTTCTGTTTTAGGGCAAATTAAAGCAAAGTTAAGTTATTTTGCTTTGAACAATTTCGAGAATAAGAAAAATTAATCGTGGGTAGCGCATCCATTTGGTATTTGAAGGTTTTTTTGAACAAAACTTTTGAGCAAAAATATAGTTTAAAAAATGAAAGAAACCGGCCAGCAAAAAAAATTCAACACACCTAAGTAGTAAAACAAACCAGCTGGAAAAACTCAATAACATGGAAAAACTCAAAAGCTGGAAGAACTCCAAATGGTGGCAAATATCCAGATTTTTATAGTTATCAATCAGCAAATGACTATAGAATCTGAATGTTTTGCTTTTCCTCGTTCACTAGTTTACTTATGAAACTAAACTAATAAGAAAGGGTGGATGAAACTAACACAAGAGATGTTAGGTTATCGAGAAGCGAAAAAATGGTTTCAAACTTAACCATAAGGAAAGATTTTGATAGCTACAAACTGCTCATAGGTAGCTCAAGTAAATATATTTTTTCCATTTTTCTAAAGGTAAGAATAATGTTAGTTATTCAGAGGATCTTGATTACGCCGTAATGATTTTCTTATGACAGACCAAGGAAATATGAGGCTTCTACTAACTTTTTGGTTTCCCCTTTGTGCCAAATGAAAACGGCATGACGACAATTCGTCTGAAGCGACAAATAGTAGCGGTAAAGTTTCAACATAAATTAGATAAAATGGTTGAGATAAAGAAGGAAGAAACCAAAAATCGAAATTGATCAAGTGGCACTCAAATTGCTTGAGAATAATATTTTTGCTATAATGTTTAGGGAAATCAAATAATTTAGCTTGGCTTTGCTCGTATTTTGCCACCTTGTCGGCACTTTCTCCGGCAGTTATTCTCACCAATTTGTTCTCCGATATATTTTTTTTCTCAGGAACTGAATAAACTTGGTAATTGTACTGTAAGCACACTCTATCCCCATCTAATAATCTCTATGCCATCCCTCGACCGAATTGAGTGTTTTATGTCTTCCGTTTTTAGCCTTTTCTAACTAATTCCAGAGTGAAATAGGGAATTTCCCAGCCCCCTGCGTCCTCGGTGGATGGTTTCAATCCAAGTTAATTCATACAATCAACGTAATCCATTCCGACTCGTCATTTTTGTCGAAATTTCAGAGCAAACAGCAGTCGAGCCGATTTCAAAACCGAGCTTAGTTTTTAGTGCCAGCGAAACGAAGCATGCGTGTTTATCTACCTTCTGGATAAACTGCTAACCTAATCGATCTCTTGAATTTTGCGCCAATTGGCCTGAGCAAAATCAAAGGAGATTTTTTTATAGTTACTCCATTAAATAACTTCTGAAATGCGTTACTTGAAACCTTCTGAAAGTCTCCCACAATCTGTGTTGGTTCAAGTTCTGCATTGATTTTTTCCAATAGTCTGAATACTCGGATGTTTTGCTCTTCCTTTTTGGTTTCGAAGAAGAAAGAAGACTAATGAAACAGTTTAATCGTTAACCATTTCATCAATTGAGAAAAATTGATGTTATAGCGGGGCAAGTGCCTTAAATATCGCATCTGCATGCCACACTTTTTTTTTTCCAAAGTTTTTAAGTTCTTGTCGGTGGCAAATTTTACATTTGGTTTTTGTCATACGACCACGAAACGAAAAGGAAAAAACTATCCGCCTCTCAGGCTCTTGCTTAACTCCAGAGGCACGGCGAAAAAAATGAACTAAATGAATCAAAACTAAGGTGTTTTAGATGCTGCTAACCTTGAATAACCCCTTCTTTACATTTAATGCATTTCAATTTTGCATTTAAATCAAGACTACCGCCGCAACCTAATTCGCTTCGTTAAGTAGTCCCCTCAATTAGCATTTAATCGTGCTGCTATTTGTTGCTTTCTAGGTTTTGACGCTTGGTGAAAATTATCGTCTCTTAGAAAGGCTGCGAATTTTCGCTTGAGACCAATTGGCGCTTGAGCCGAATTGTCGACTCACGAATGAAAACAAATGAGGGATGAGACTAGCTAAAAGTCTTAGCTTCACTAGCTAAAAGTCTTAGCTTCACAATAAATAGACTTGAAAACCGTGTTTGAGCTTGTTGTCTGTTGGTTTTTTTTGCTTCACCAAAAAACTTTGCTGAAAAATGTTTGATTAGATCAAGAAAACTTGTTTCAAAAATAAAAGTCATTTTCAGATATTTTAGATTTTCTGTAAATTGTTCAGCCATTAATTATCCAATTTTAAAAAAATGTTCAATTCCTTCTTCTTGGGTGTTCAAAAATAAATCATTCGTGAAAATTAGGAGACTGGTTTTCTACAAAGAACAGAAGCGAAGCGCAGCTTCGCACAACTTGCGATACAACACAAACCTTAAAAAACTAGTCGTTTAATAGTTGAAAAAAACCAGGTTATGAAAACTTTCGTATGTCTCGATAAAAATACTATGGGCCTGAGGTATGTTTTTGATTATGAATGCTTTTTCTATGTTGATGCAGTACGATAAATATGATATAAAAATTGGACGTTGCTCGAAAGCTTAGTTTTGTTAAACCAATATAAGTCAGAAGAGTAAAAAAAACATTTGAGGTAATGAATTTTCCCATGGAGATAATTTTTTTTACAAAACAATAAAGAGTCGCCGATTCTGCAAAAATCTTTGCCTCAACTTTTTTCTACTGAATTTTTTATTGCAGATTTGATTCTGTAAATTTTAATTAAAATCAAAATTTTTTTTACAAAATGGTCAAAAAATCTACGAAACGGTAAAAAAGATTTCAATTATCTATATTTTTTCTGCAAAAAGCAGTTTATGGCTGCTGAAGCAGAGAAAATTTCAAAACTGGGATTCTCGATCGAGCACAACCTAAGAATCGGCAGGGAATTTTTTGCTTGAAGTCAAAAAGTTTCCAGAAAAAATTTCAAAATTTCAATGCATTGACTTGATTGAAGTCAATTACAAATTTTACATTACATTGCGCATAGCCATTCATAGAGGTAAGCTTTCAACAGCTTGTTGTTTTGGTTAATTCTGTGATATCGGATTTGGCAGGATAGTTTTATAGAAAAGTCCAACAAATGGTCAACAAATCAAAATGTTCAGATTTCCATGAATCATACATTTTTGTGTTGAAAGTGGAGCTTATGCATAAGATATTCACTCGGCCTGTAACCTGGGTTGATCGTAAAAACTCATCAAAAGTGAGTGTTATTCTCGAGAAATGTGAAAATTAAGAAAAACCGTCAAAAATCAAATTTTTGGTTTTCCGAGTGCCATAACTTTTGGTGTCAGAAATATTTGAGAGTAATCGCACAAACGAATAAGCTTTCAAGATCTTAATCATTGATATGAACCAAAACTATCAGATATGGCACGGTAATTTCCGAGAATACTGTAGAAGTTTGAAAAAAAGGTCCAATTATCAAAAATTTGACCATTCCGTAGCCACTGATGAAGGGAGCTGTTCAAAATCATTTTTTCGATTGGAGTCAAAACTCAGATTTGAGAGGGGTAGTTTTCGAGAAAATGAAAAAAAAAATCAACAATATAGTTCAATATAAACGGCTGTAGACAGAGCGGTGAAGTAAAAAGAGACTCGAGTGGAGTATACAGGCACACAGGGGAGGACTAGGCGATCTTTTAATTGATACCCTTCTTCATAATCTAAATTTTTCCAATAACTTTACAATTTTTTTACAATGAAAAAAAAAGAAAATTTTAAATTTTAATAGAGCAATTGGTCAAGATACAACCAACTTGAAAAAAGCTCATGGGAATGTTTAACTGGTGTTTCCCTTGAAACGACCAAAAATTAGGTCATTAAGGCGATGAAAATTGGCCGAAATAATTTTGGCTTGGAAACTTTTTCTTAGCAAAACAAAAAAATTAAAAAGGAAATAAGAAGTCAATGTAAGCAAAATTAAAAACTGTATCTAAATCCAGAACTAAAAGTAACATTAATAAAATTGAGCGCGGCAAAAAAAACTATTTTAAGATGTGGCAACTAAGCCGACCACTTGGCCGACAAAATTTCCCGTTTGAAAACAAACAGGTCCTGGACAGATTCGAATCCAGGAACTTTGCCGCCGTAGGCATATTCGTTACTTCCACGCTAAACTTCCCGTTGAAGCATATAATTTATAAATTTTTGATGAACCAAGA